GCTATTTATAGTTAGGAAGGAAATTAGATTATTTTTTATTTACAAAAATATATTATTATTAATGGTATTATTATAAGATGATTGCTTATTACTTTTAATTATGTTAAATTTTAAGAACCTATTATTAATTATATTAATAAGATAATTTTTATATATTATTATTTAACTATTATATGTTTCTTTAAGTTTAATTGCATTTTTATTAATTTATAATTTTTATATTTAATTAATTATTTTATTAGCTTTATTATATTTATTACTATTATTATTGTTATTATTGTTATTATGTTTATTATTTTTGCATAATCTATTAATTTATTTATTGTATTTCCTCATTATTATTTAATATTATATTAATTAGATTTTATATATTAAATTTTATTTAATTTGATTAAAATTAATATTATTAGTAATCATTTATTAAATAATTTTTATTTTCATTTTAATAAATTTTAATTTATTTTTTATCCAAAAGAGGTACATAGTAATATTTTCTTTAAAATTTATTATAATAATATAACATTCTAATTGATTTATTATTTTAACATTAATACTTTACATAATTAAATTTTTAAACATCAATTTTATTATCAAATAAATAATGAATTTCAATAATTTTATTTAGTGCATTTGATATAAGAGGAATTAGTTCTAATTAAATATCAATTTAATTTTAAAATAATACAAGCTCTTTCTAAAATTAACTTTACTTGCAATTACATACTATTATTTATTTGAAAGCCTAAATTAAACCTTCTTAAAAAAAAATGTTTTCATAAAAGTATTTTTAAAATAATTTAAATTAGATATTTTTATTTAATTTATATTTTTCCTAAATTAATTAAAATATTTGTTTGTTAACATTATCCAATATTTCTTATTCAGTTATGTTTTTTGATGGAATTGGTTTAAATGTAATTTATTTTCGATTTATTTACTCATATATGTCTAAAAACGATAAATTATAAATATCTGTTTATTCATTTATTAATAAATCTTCGAAATATAAAAGAATTAAAGATTTTAAAAAAATTTAATCACAGAATTAATCAGAAAAAACTAATAAATAATCGTTTTCATTTAAATTTTAAATATTTTAATAATTTTACTTTTATTTTATTTTATTTAAAAAAAAAACAAAATATTTATATATTATAAATTACATTTGTTTCTAAAATAAATTGCCTATAGTTTTAAATTTTATATAATTTTTATTATGTTTATAATTCTACATTTTTTTGGAAACAAATATTATTTTAACTTTCTTCGATTTCTTTTTAAGATGGACTCATATAATCTAAATTATTTTATTATTTTTGAGAATTATATCTTTTATTATCTTAATTATCTTAATAAATTAGGCTTTTACATCTTTAAATTTATTAATTTTAATAGTTATTACTATTTTCTTTTTCTTATTGAACTTTTTTTTATTAACTATTTTATAAATTCAATATATAATTACCATTATATTCATTTAAGTTATTTTTTTTTTCAAAAAAGATTTACTTTATTAAAGTGTATTTATATTTTATTAATTATCTAAAATTTTCATTTAAATATCTCTTTATTATAATACTTACTATTAGCTTTTTTATTAAAAAAAATGATTTTTTTTTATATTTATTGTAGTTTCTTAAATTTTATATTGAGAAAAATTTTTTTATTCATTGAAATTTTTTTTAAAAGATTAACTTCTTTCTGATTAAGTATTTTTATTTGAATATTTTAAGATTAAATTATTTATTGATGAATTTAAATCTTTTTCATTTACAAGTACTATTATTTAAAAGATAAAAGAATATATTTTAATTATTTTTATTAAATAAATAAAAAACCTTTTTTTTCTTGATTATTAAAATTTATACTTTACCTTTTGTCTGAATTGCTTTTTTAAAGAATTTGGTTATAAGGAAAATTAAAATAATTTTAGTTTATATTAGAGTTTGTTAATTATTAGATTTTTTATTCGAACGACATATAATAAAAATATATATATTTTTTTAATTTAATTGTTTATAAATTTTTAAAAAATTAAATAAATGTTTTTAATATTTTTATGAAAATATTAATTTTTATATTTTTTTTAAAAAAAAAAACTTTTTATAATATATTATTTTTCATAATATAATTATTTTTCATAATTTTTTTTTTTTAAAAAAAAAATGAACTTATAACTAAAAAATGAATTAGAAGATTATTCTTTCTAGACATAAAAACTAATAAATAATTAAAACTATTATTATTCAAAAGGAAACAGTAAATTAAATAATAAAATAATATATATATATACTAAGGATATTATTTATAAAATATATTAAAAAGTAAATCCATAAAATAAAAATATATAAAATTCTAACAAAGTAAAAATAAAATAAATTAACTAACTATCATATATTTTATAAAGTTTAATTCTTAAATAAATGAAGATAGTAGTCATTATCATTTAGGTACATATTTAAGTGAAAAATGCATAAGTAAAACTAAATAATCGATATATAATTAATAACAAAATAATTTAATTATTGAAAATGTGACTCCTTTTAATTAAATATTTTAAAGCTAACAAAAAAAAACATTTGTAATTCAACTATAAATGAAAGTAAAGTATATGTAACTGCGATGTAGGCTTTATAAGATAAAATAAAAATTTTAGAAAGGGAATTAAGTTAATAGAAACAAAATAATTTTTAACATGAATTATAAGAGAAAAATTAATAAATATCATAACAAAAAAATACGATAGAATAGTAAAATTATGAAATTTAAAAATTAAAATTAGTTTTAGAAAATTCTATTATATAAAATAAAGAACTTATTTCTAAAAATAAATAAAATAATAATAATTAAGAATCGCAAATACAAAAGTTACAATAGTTATAAGTATATGTTTAATAAGAAAGAGAAAAAAATAATATTTTGTAAGAAAGTATTATTGATTAATAAAAAAAATTCTAAATTTAAACTGAAGAATTAATAGAGTTTAAACAAAACCTCAAAAATTTATATTTAGAACTTGAAAATAAGAAATTAGAAATCAGAAATTAATAAGATATTAATGAAAACCTTTTTAAATAAAATAGTTAATTAAAAAATTAATTGAAAGAAAACGAAATTTATTTTTAGGAATACTCTATTAAATATAATTAAAGGTAGATTGATATATTAAATTAAAAAAATGAAAACTTGTAGAAATAATTACAATAATAAAATTTTTAATTAGAATAATTTCAAAATTTTAAAGATGATTGCAAATAATTAAAAGAATAAATAAAATAATAAAATGAATAGATTAATTTGTAAAATTAATAACTATTTGAATATAAATAATAATTTTAAAATAATATTTAGTAATAAGAAAATTAAAAATAGAAAAAATAATAATTAAAACTAAAAATAAAAGAATTAATAGATGAAAATAATAATATTAAAAAAGAAAATATTAATTAAAATAAAAACATATTGGAATATGTTTAATAAATAAAAGAATTTTAATTAAAAATTAAAATTGCTAAAGATAAAAAAAAAGTTTATAAGCAAAAATATTGAACTTAGAAAATTAAGAATAAACTTAAGCAAAAAAAATAAAATTTTTAAATAATGATTTAGAAAATGAAAATCTAAAATAATAAGAGGCTGTTTATTTTGATAATACAAAAAAAATAAATGAAAAATCAAAAAATTAAAAATGCTTAAATATTATTTAAAAAAATGAATAATTATAAAACTTTTAATAATAATTTAATAAAGTATAAGACTAAACATTTTAAGCTGATGACAATAGTAATAAAATTTAAAATTAAAATTAGAATTAATATTAGTAAAGTAATTTTTAAACTCCAAATTAAAAAGAATTAGAATATGAAAATTTTATTAAATAATAAAAAATCTTCGAATAAAATAAATTATTATAAGAATAAATATATTAAAAATTTTAAAAATAATAATAAATAAATATATAATAATATAATAATAATAATAATAATAATAATTATATTAACAATAATATTATTAATTTTTATTTTAATAAATTAATAATGAAAATGAAAAGAATTAAACTTTATAAAACGATACTTTAATTTTAAAAGAATTAATTGATGCCGAAAATGAACTTAAACTTTTGAATTAATAATACGAAGATTATATTGTTTAATCAAAAGTATAAATTTATATAAATTTTAATTTTATTATTTAATCAATTAATTTAAGAACGAAGAAGAATAAAATAAAGGTGCTATTAGAAAAAAAATCTTATAAATATGTGATAAAATAAATAGTATTAATGAAAAAACTTTTTATTTAAAGAAAAAGCATACTATATAATTATAATTTTAATAAAGTGAGTATAACAAATAAAGTTAAAAAAATTAAATAAATGAAAATTAATAAAATAAAAATAAATTATAGCCTCAAAATTTGTTTTATTGTAT